ATCTAGAGCAATATAACACAAGAAAAACAAAGTAATTAAATCAATCTTAAAAATAAGAAACTGAACAATAAATAAAAAAATAAAAAATAAAAAATTAAAATTAAAAACCAAGAAAAGCATATGGGTGATAAATAAACATTTTCACAAATTATTAAATAAAAATAGAAAAAAAATGGAATGACGTGGTAATAATTTAACTCGTTTAATATTAATGTATCAGTTATTACTTACTTTGTAATTTGACAAATTTGGAATTAAAATAAAATAAAATAAATAAAATTTAAATTAAACTTAATTTACTCATGATCTTCATCTCGAAACGTTACTAGAGGAAGAGTGAACAAGAAAGTGGATTAGCAGCATTGAGAAAATATGGTGATGATGATGTGATGTAAAAATAAAATGTTACACGATTTATTTTATTTTATTCGAGATAAATTAGTGTTAGTAATTTTATTATGTAAAGACAACTTTCCTGAAACGAGAAGAACTGTATTACGACATTATATTTATTGGAACGTCTACTTTTTACCACCACACACAACTACTATATTAAATATTTTTTAAAGCATATGTAGTAAAATACAGTATACATCTATCTATCTATCTGGTAATTATAATTAGCAAAAGTTGTTCTAGGCTTTATTGATAAAAACTAAAGCAAAATCTTCACCAATTAAATTTCTTGGCACCTAGCATTCTGTGATTAAAGCTCATTAATTAAATTAACGAGAGAAAATTTCATCTCTCATTATCCTCATTATCATCACATCATTATCGCATCATCATCCAATATAAGTTAACTATCGAATAACTGACTGATGTGTAGTTTATATCTATCTATACACTTTTTTTCTTATATATAACACGCTCACACACAAAAAAGAAAAAATATATATTTGTATTTTGGTGTCCCCTTGATTTTTTATAATTTCTCATTATTTTATTTTTGTTTAGCTTTTAGTTTTCTTCTTTTTATTTTCTCTTTTGCACTTTTTTTCTTTGCAAAAAATTTTTTTATCTTTTTCTTTTCTTCGCGCGCACACACGCACACATATCATTATTATATAAAATAAACAAAAAATAAATAAAATATTAAGGTTTTTTCTTTTTTTTAAATCTCTTAAATTATAGATTCTTTTTTAAATAAATAAATAAATACATACATACATACATACATACACTTTTAGATATATACTAGTTTTGCTCTGTGAGCATTCAACGCTATAATATTTCACATCATTATTATTATTATTATTATTATTATAGTAATAAGAATAAATTAAAAAATTATATATACATAGATATATAAATAAATAAAAATAAAAATAAAATAATTAGAAGAAAACTATTAAAATTTTTTTGTCCTTATTTTTCTCTTTATTTAAATAATTTTATTTTTTGTGCCTTACACATTCTTTGCAAAAAGCCATCCTTTGTCTAAAACAAATTATTATAATTGTTAGGTAAGCAAGCAAGTGGATTAATTAATTAATTTCGCTTAATTTGATAATTAATAATTAAACATTCTATCATTTAATAATTATATTTATTGTTCTCTCGATAATATCATATCTATATATCTATATTCTTATAAAACAAAGAAAAAGAATTTTTACTTTCTATTCTTCAACAAACAACAATATAATACTGTAAGTAAATAATGATTACCATTATTGTTGTATTGTTGTCATTTTAATTTATTATTATTATTAACTAAACGGTTTAACTGTTATTAAATTATTAAATGATAACTATTATATTTAGAAGTAAAAATTTTATTCAAATTCAAATATGGCAACTGCAACTTCTTCTACAACGACAAATAATAATAATATTGCAGCTTCTCCAGAAACACCATTTTATTTTAAACAAGAACAAGAAGAAACAACAATGTGGTCATCTTCAACTCCCACAACTCCTTCTTCAGTTTCTTCTCCTCCTCCTTCTTCTTCCTCCTCAAATAATGAACAGGATTATAACATTTATCGCATACCAATAGGCTATGACATTGTAATAGTTCCTTTGAAACAAGAAGAACAAGAACGAGAATATAATCAACAACAACAACAACGTTTATCTTTTCATGAAAATTCTTTGAATTCTGATTCAATTGCTCAAGATATCATCGATGCTTCTCAATCCAAAATTGATTATGACAATAAAGGTTCTTCTATCGTCACCAATTCATCAAATTCGATCTCAAAACCAGTCGATATTCCAAAATCTAGATCCTCAATTACTACTTCATCTTCTCAATCAACTAACGTTGCTACTAGTAATAACAATAACAATAATAACAAAGATAATAATAATGCAGCAACAACAACATCGCCAGTTCGTCTTTCTGCTTATCGTAAAAGAAAGGCTGATAAAAATTATATTCCCCGTCCTAAAAATTGTTTTATGGCATATAGAGAACATATAAAAGAAAAATTTTTGATTGAAAATCCTGGAATTAATAATAAGGTAGTATCGGTCCTTGCTGCTAATATGTGGAATAATGAACCTGAAGATGTTAAAGAGCATTGGAGAGAACGTGCAAAACAACTTAAACTTGAACATAAAATTAAATATCCGAATTATAAATTTAAACCACAAAAAAAGAAACCAAGCTTAAAGAGTTCTTCTTCTAATAACTGTCAGAGTAACAATGTCAACAAACCCAATAACAATAGTAATGGTAATAATAATAGTAGTAGTAGTAGTAATAATAATAATACCTCTACTAATACAAAAAATACTACAAACAACAGCTCTATAACTAACGGTGCTACTGTTACTGCTACTACTACAAACATAAACATAAATAACATAACTACAAATATCATCAGTAATAATTCTTCTAACACTACCAATACCACTACTACAAATGACACTACTTCTATTACCAATTGCCGTAAAAAGAATGTTGTAGATTCAAAGATGATTTTTGCTGATGGTTTTAACAATGAAATAATGTGTGGTGATGATAACAGCAATAATAAAGATGACGTAAAACAAAAACAACCAATTTATTCTTTAGGTCTGGAAGGAATTGCTACTGCTGATGATCATGAAGATATCTATTTACAGCATTTACAGAAAAAAGCTATATTTGGTCATTATAGATCATCGTCTGTTGATTCTTTAAGTTCTTGGACAAGCGATTCCACCGTCTCAACCCCTTTACTTTCACCTTTTGCTGGCTCACCTGCATCCTTGTCTCCTCCGACTTTTCAATGTAACAATAGCGTGGGAAGATCTGCTTTACGTTATGAGGCTGGCGAGATTTCTCAATCCAATATTCA